AAGATAGTTTTCAAATATCAAATGAATACCTAATATACGAATTTGTCTGCTTGTTATGGGTACAACTTTAAATTTAAAAGAATACGAAAAAATGTTAAGTTATATATAAGAGTCTTGTTCAAGAGCAAGGTTTCTGCGCATTCTAAATGTCAAGTCTCAAGGACGAATCTATTATTGTTTTTTAGAATTAATTTTGCTACATTTAAATGAAAAAAGCGCGTTTACAATATTATGCGTACAAATGTAGGATAATAATATGGCCGACTGCCAAGGTGGCAAGGCGGTAACAGAATAACGCAATGCAGACCAATCTGATACCACCACCACCAGAGATAGGTATAGTATAAATATAAAATAATATAATACACTATCTAATAGTCTCCGATTTACATAAATATATACTTTAAAAAAAATAATAAAAATGTTGGTCCCGGACCAGCATATACGTATTTTTAAGATAAATTATACCTGTATTGGAAATATTATATTAAAAATATATATTATTATATGTATAATAATATTACAAAGTAGTAAGCACGAGCGTCAAAGAAAAGAAAGAACGGAACAGTGATAAATATAAATAGCATAATTGTATATGTGAACTTCATTGACCTTATTTTATATGGCTATTGCTCCGTGCGACATTTTTAGGCGTGGAAAGTATTTTTTGTTATTTTTCAGTGGGGTTAAATTTATTGTACCGATCACTTATACGAATATTTGTGGAAACATTTTTTTTTATTAAAATTAAGTATTACAAAATTCGTTAAAATCACAACAATTTGTAAATTATTTTGTTGTTAAGAATTCTTAAAAATTTTAATTTATGTATTAATACATAAGTATACATATTTATGTACAAATCTTTGGTGTCTTTGAAATAATTTTAGTAGAATCAAACAAAAAAGTTTAGAATAAACTATAATCCATGTAATTTTTTTATGATAGCTATTAAATTACAAATTTTGATGACATTGGATTTCACACGTAAAATAGGGATTTCTTTTCAGACAATTTTTGATGTTTTGTTGTAATTCAAAAATATTAATCGTAGAAATTTAAGACAAATATTTGAATAATCCATTGTTACTATAATCATCATTTTCTAAACAAAGGCACATAATTACCTAATTCCAGTTTCCAGTGTTGATAACAATTTTTAGACTGCCAAAAATCTAGATGATTTAAAAAAAATCCACCTAAGTTGTTATTTTAGCAATTCAAAAATATAGAAAATGAATGGTCACATATTTTTTTAAGTGTTTGAATTCCAAAATTCGACCAAGTTTGTCAAAATCACAATATGAAAATTATTTTTAAATTGCAAATTCATACAATTTTTAATTTTAAAAACTGGTAAATCGATACGTTTTTCCTTAAAGCGACCTAAAAATCTCAAAAATATATGAAATACATATAAGCAAAATGTATTTGTATACATTTCGATGTCCAATTTTTATTAAATTGAATACTTAAACAAAAAACAATGGTTATCGCTACTTAGTTGTTATTTAAAATGTATTATTTATAGGGACTTGAAACATTTCGACACAACGTATATTATTATTTACTATATAAACAATAATACTTCAAAATATTCAGATTTTCTTACGAATAAATTACCTATTATTATAAATATAAATACGTTATAGATTATCCTTACCAACATAGGCTGACAGGCTGTCTCCGCTAAGAATCGTTTTTAGTTTGATTCATCAATGAATTAAAATTACAACACATATATATTATCTAGAGCACTAGAGCAGGGATGGCAAATCAATGGTACGCGTTGGCAAAGATTTTGTGGGCACGCGAAAATTTAGGAATCGACGACGCCGTGGGAACTGCTTTCGCATAGCTTCCGCGAATATTATGGGACCTATAGGCTATAATAACCTATAAACTAACCTTTTTATAGTAATACATTAATTATACAATCAAATTATAGTATAACAAATTATAATATTTTTAATATTTTTTTCATGGCACGCTATAAAAAAAAAAAGGTTATTACTAATTTTGGGCACTCAGTGTTTCTGAATCCCTGATCTAGAGTATAGTACTTCATTAAGAGGTGCCTACCTACATTCGACCCATACAACGAATAACTATACAGCAGATTGAGTTTCCCGAGTTTTTAACAGCGTTGGGCAAAACAATTATATGATTAACCAATGATTAAAGCTTTACGTAGTTTATCTAAAATCCAAAATTCATGAAGTTCATTAGACATTTTTTTCAATACTCATAAGTTATAAGTTATAATATTTAACACAGGTATATTATAGTAATATAGTCCACACTCCACTGATTAAAATTATATAATACTTATGTTAAAATATATAAAATTTGACTGTGAAAAATATGAATTATTTGAATTTTTAATGATAGTGTATTATTAATTTCACCAATACCTGTTCAATTGTAATTATTTTACACTGATATTACATGTCTAATCCTAATTCTGAAAATCTTAATCCATTATAACAAATTCAATGAATGTTGTATATTAAATGAAATTCATACATTTTTAGCTTTATGTAAATCCTTATAAGCTTTAATCATCGGTTAGTCATAGCATTTTTTTGCCCAACAATGCGTTTTAATTATCTGTACAATGTATATCGAGGAAAGCCAACCAGAGAAATTGGTCATCATTAAAATCGGAAATCAATTAACTACTCATCTCAAGTTTAGTTGTTATGAGCAGATTATTTCATTATAAAAATAGGTCATGAATTTCCGAAATACCCATGACAATATTAAAATAAATAATACATTATATTATATATCACACCATTTATACCTTCGAACGATCGAGCGTATATAGTTTTATGTCATACGTACTACGTAGCCTCGTATAGCCGTATTGGTACCAATATCATAAATAAAAGAAGAAAAGACCATATTATAGTCGTAGTCGAGTACACTAATAAGTAATAATAATAATATTGCGTTTTCCCGGAAGAGAACAACGGATGGGCAGCGTGCCAATATAATAACGTGACATAATATTATATTATACGCGTAATACTGTGAAAACTCAATCGTTAAAAAGTAGGTACTCAGTAGTAGGTACTAGGTACCTAGTTGGAATCCTCGTAAAATGAACTTTTTTTTGGTCCCAATAAAACAAATAATACTATTAATTTTATATTACTTAGTTACAGAGTAGGCAGTTATTGAATAATACAATAATATGGTAAGTTACTTATATAAATGGGTGTTGAATGTTGATATTATAATATTTACTTACCTACTAAATGGGAATTACACACACGTGTTCCATAACCCTACAGTACCACAACCTACAGCTAATGGCCTCAGTTGCCAAAGCTTAAAAAAAAAAAATAAATTGTAATTTCTTCGTTAATTAAATAAATCTTGACGAATTACACAAGTGTATCAGCTAAATGTCTATTTACAGATTTTATAGTTCTTTATAATCGTGGTTCAAATCTATTTTTAATTCTGGTAAGGGCGAGGAATGTATTGGTTCGAACCATATACCTATAAAGAAATGAACTGATAGCAGGTATTGGCGTACAACTATTTTTCCATCTGCCTGTACTCATTAATAGCGATTAGCGAGAGAGAGAAGCTTATGCGGGACAAGCAGTCCATGTATAACATATGATTATTCTACATTTCTACATTATGCTTTTAGCAAACAAAAAGTAAAAACAGGGATAAAAGCGCAAAATGGTTTTAAAAACAAAATTTAGTTTATTATATTTTTAATATCGAGGATACATAGGTAAACATAATTATTTTTATAAATATTTGAAGTTCGAAGTATGACTAATTAAATATCTTAAAAGAAAATATGGTTTTCCCCTAATTTAAAAAAATAAAATATAAATAAATAAACTAATAAAAATGAGTTAAACTTCCAATTTATAGCGTATTAGATTATTTAGGTAATAGGTAGGTACAGATTCTAACACAAATGTAAATTACTAATAGTCATATAAATACCCCCGTCTAAATTACTTTTTAGAAATATAGAGGCTGACACATCGTCTCTTCTCAGAATCGTTTTTTTCCGTCGACATTGAATTAAAACTTCCACACATCCATTTAAGTGACGTACTCGATGATGAGGTTCTCTAATATTTATACACATACTATTCTTTTTATTTTTTTGTTGTGTGACATTCCGTTGTAACGAGATGTTACAAGTTATATATTATGTTATGAATTTACATGGTATATTAATGGTTTACCCAAGTTATAATCTTTTTTTTTTATTAATATAGCTTTAAGTAACAACTAATAAAGCTCAACAGTTATAATAATAGAAGAGTACAAATTAAATTACATTAGGCACATGTGTAATTATATAATAAAGCCAAGTTATAATCTTAAACGCCAACATTTAACCAAATAACTTTTATAAGTTTTTCAATTTAATCAATTATTAGGTATCATATTGGTATCGTGTTAAAATAATATTGTTCTACCATAATATAATACACACTTCTATAATTGTCTCATGACTTAGTGCGCTTTATAAGTAGCTCATAAATCACTAAATAAACATTGAAATAGTGGTTTCCGGGTCCTAACATGTACATAATATTTTATACGTCATTTTGAAAGAACGATAAAATATGATAAAATCCACTCGGTTTCGAAACAATTTTGGATGGAAAAAAATGGACTTACAACTTTTGGCCAATTTTTATCGGCCGTCGGTCCGGTTCGGTTTGTCGCGAAGGCTGTTGTTTATGTAAAAAACGTTTCTATTTGTTGTTTCTACATAATATTATTTTCTTTGTGATCGTCTAGCCGACTGCAGCGGGCTTACCGGTATCGCCCCCGGACGGACGGTCTCTAGCGTGCGTTTCGGGAAAAGGCGCACGCCGACCGAAATGCGATTTATTTTGGCCGGAGAATTGCGTCTTGGCCGTAAAAATAGACTTCTGGCTATGATTAGCAGCCGGTCGTCCGACTTGCGCACGCGTCCGTCCGACACGGGTTGAGTACCTAACCGCGGCCGATATTATACTCATATAATTATAGACCGTGTGCGCGCCACACCACACGACTTCACACATCACGTCCGGACATAGTACAGCACCGCCTGAACACGACTGGACGAAAATCCCGCTGTCCGACCAGGTAACGTGACATTTTTTTCCTTCATATTTATGTAGGCATAGGTTTATGTTCTACGATAAATCGATAACCACTATTATTATAATTATTGTGCTTGTGCAGATAAGGTGTATTATAACTAATGAGTTATGATATTACAGTCGGTACTTTTGCACATCGCAGCACGTGATGTGTGTATCGTACTATCATGACGTGTGCGGTGTGGCGCTTTTTGCGTCTCGAGAAATTATGGAAAAAAGAAATTTAACACTCGTATTTCGTGAAAACGTGCATATCGTCAATGTTTTGCTGGCAATGCGATCGGTTTCGGATCCGCTGTATCGACTATTATAGTAGATCCACCATTATCGTATTATTCTATTATAGTATTATTATTTGACAATATTAATTTCTCGGCGCAGTAATACAATATATAATATACCTACATTGAATATTATACCTCGACTTCCACGGTTGTACTTGGTTAATGGTTACTCAGTAATTGTATTTTGCTAAAACTATCGTTTAGCTAAAAAATCAACGTGATTCTTAGTTTCAATCGTTAGTAGTTGCCGGTTCAACTGTAGGATGTAGACTGATGATTACTCTTCAACAATCTACATAGTCAGTGTTTGTTATATAAATATATAAATATTTATAAATCATTTAAATTATATTATTCAAAATATAAGTTACTAGGTATAACATTTAATCGAAAGTAAACTGCAGTGTAGTTGGACTAGATGCCTATTATAAACATTTGCTTTATATAGGTCAAAAATAAAAATAGATTTGAACTATGGTTTCTTAATGACCTATCAAATTCGAATAAATTTAAAACTCAATAATTGCATATGTTCATTATATAAGTTATTATTTATTTATTATTGCAGTGTAATTATCTCAGATGGGCGCAATATGGAGTCGTCCGGCAGATATGCCAGCTTTAACAGCACCGGTAATTATTTATACTAATATACTATTCATGCATACAATTATTATATGAATTGTATTTTATTATTATTATTATTATTAGGATATAGTTGACGAGCCCTTTGAAAATACTGTTGTTGATGCCAAAGACCCAGATGAGTTCGACAGATATTTGGCCAGTATACGCGAACGGCGGCATGATGCTCTTGCATCGATTAAAACTGAGATGAATCGATTGAGAGAGTATAAAGAAGAACTGGAAATGGTGAGAAAAGAAAAAGACGGATTAGAACAACAGGTCAAAGCCCTAAAACAAGTAGCGAACATCAGCAATGATATGTTGAAAATCAGAGAAGCACAGGTGATTTATTCATTGTATTTATATGGGATACCCTAATGTGTTAAACATTCTTTGATACCTACGTCTATAATAGGTGAATGACTTAAAAAAGCGATTGCAAGAAATGGAATCACATGCAGATGAATGTTTAGCTGACTTGCGAGTGGAGTACCAAAAGCAAATCGACAATATCAGGAATTTACGTCGGCTTTACGAAGAAAGGGCAGAAGCAGCAGCTATGGGCCATGAAAGGGAAATTAATAAAGAGAGAGCTAAAAACTCTTTGCTAGAAGCAAAATTGGCAGAAGAACTTAACAGTAAGCAAGGTATGAATGACTTTATAGCAAAACTAGAAACAGATGTTCAAGGCAAGCAAATTGAATATGAACAGATGAAAGCAAAATACATGACTACATCAGCAGACAGGATGAGTCTTGCATCACAAATGGCTTTAGTGAATAATTTATTCTCTACTTTATTATCTGGCGACGAAGGACCAGACTTTGATAGATTTGCTCGGATGCTAGAGGAAAATAGAGAGTTGATATCCGACTTGACGTTCAACGGGGACATAAATGAAACGGCTTCTGTGTTAATGGATATTGCTGGTGATACATTAGAGCGTTCTGAAGAAGTAGAATGTACTTCAAACAGGGAAAAAATTGCTTCAAATCTACCAAAAGTTTGGAGAATACTCGTTGAATTGTTGGGTCATTATGACAATAAAACGGAAAATGAGTCTAAGCCAGACGATCCAAATGAATCTAGGGTTGCTTCAGTGAGCAGAACATTTTTGAAGCTTAAGGATCTTATCCTTGAAAAAAATTCTTTGGTGAAAGATATCGGTAGACTGAAGACTCTCAATGATCATTTGGAATCTCGACTTGACCATCAGCAACAAAGGCTTTCAACTGTATCCGCAGAATTGTGTAAGGCCTGGAGCGCTGTAGCCAAGCTTAATGCTCAACATAGAAAACTTCATACTCATGAAAAGATTCTAAGGTACGAATTACAACATAAGAGAACTGTATTAACTGAACTTAAACAGGAACTAGAGTATTGTCGAGAGAAATGGGATCAAGCTCGATTGAAGAATACTCAATCTCAGGAAGACTGGCAGTCATTACGAGAAGAATTTGCTCGGAGAAAATGTAGTACATCAGTAGAGAGTGGGTTCGAAGACGATGAAAGCCGAGTGGCCATTGCTGATAGTGGAGCTTGTAGCGATGACGATGAGAACTGGTTAAAAACCTTATCTTTGGACACCTCAGAAACAGAAACAGTAGACGAACCCCAGTCAGAAACTGAAACAACTGGGATCAAAAGATTAGAGAAACAGAGTAGATCGTTGCTCAATCAAATGGTACGTACTTCTCGAACTAGTGACTCTATAAGTGAGCGGCTAGAAGAATTACAAAGACAATACGGACGGTCTGGACGACCGACCACATCTGAGAGTGAAGATTCTTCGGAAGTTTTAGTTGAAATACCAGGAACCAGTACTTCAACGCCGGTGACTTTACAACCAGACGAAGAAAAAAATATAATACAAACTGATGAAACAGTTGTAAGAACTGAAGAAGAAAGACTGCAACAAGATGCAGCTATATTACGGCCTGACGAGGAGGAGAGACTTCAACGAAGAGCTGCTAGATTAAAAAGACTGGAGGAACAATGTTTGGGATTATTCAGACAAGTAAGTAAAATAAAATTAATGTGACATTAGAATAGATACAAAATTAGAATCATTCATTTTTGGTTTTTAAGATATTTTAATCAAAAACCTTAACAATGCATTAGGTATAGAATGAAAAAATATATCTGAATATATTTTACTAAGCAGTAAGGATATAAAGAATTAATACAAAACAAATAGCCACATAAAAATAAATTTATTTGCTTATTCAAAAACCCAATTCAGGCTTTATATACCTGCCATTTTAGTTATTTTTAAATTGAATTAGATTTTAAATTGATCTTATATCTATTTAAACAAAAGATTTTTTTTCGTCGTAGGTACGTTGTATGACTAGTTGTGACATGTTTTCAACTTAATTTTAGATGTGAAAAGAGACTAAATATATGATGGAAGATCTACTCTAATTAAGGTTTAATTGTAGGTATGTGAATATGTAAATAACGGCTCATACCTATGAGGGCATAACCATGTTAGATTTCATCAGATTCTATTCACTGAAATTTAATTGTTCACTATTATATTAAAATATATTGTTTTATGGTTATTTTTTCACTTCGACGAATAAGAAAGTAAAATGAAGTATGAGAATATTTTTTCACCATCTAGATTCTGGGCATTGAATGTAATGGTTTATTACACTATTTATTAACATTGTTTAATTTTGTTTACCATTGATTGAACTCATCCGGTTTATAAAGTATGATATTGATATTAATTATTTTTGATAAAATCATTTGTTTTTAGGTAAGTGAGACAAATGCCAGGAGTGATATGATATCTGGTCGACTGGACGAGGTACATGCTAGACAAGTAGCTAGATCCATTGATCGGCAGACAACATCAAATACTACTCCTCTACCCGATGAGACACCTGAAAATGTATAATATGAAAAAAGTAAAAACCACATGATTGAAATGTTACATTAATGTATGTATATTTTTTGAATCAAAAACTACAGAAATGACGGCCAATACATTTTAAAACGTATTACATTTCCGAGAAATACAAAGAATATTATTACAAAAAAATAATAATAATGATTACGCACAAACATGTTCTACTATTTTACTGTTTCACAAAATTCAATACTATTATTAACTTTCTACAGTGCCACTATATAGGCCATACATAATATATAATGGAGTAATATTAGTTTATTATTGTTTTCGATTTCGTATTATTTATATTTCCATTCAATAGTTTAGTAATGATATTTTGTTATAATAACTATGTATATGATGCTATAATATTATTGTTGTTTAATTTACGTGTGATTTTATGAGATTTGTGATTTTATATAAATATATTGTATTGATTTATATATTATTAAATCGTTACCCTGAGTATATACTATATTAAGATAGTATAATGTTATATTTTGGCAACGAGATCATTTTAGAATAAAATTGCTATTGTTTCTTTAGCGACTTTAAGTAGTCAACTTTGCTGAAGTTTGTGGTACTCTTATTTTTTGTTTTTTTAATTTTCACTATTGACGTAATAATTAATCCCCAATTGCGTGTTATAAAAACATGTTTATAAATGTGTACAAGCTTAAAAGTTTAAAAAAATGTGTTCATCGTACGATATGCTAGTTATTATTATTTTAATTATTAATATTAAATATGAATACGCATGATATTACATGATTTTATTTTTATGTGAATAAGTCACGAACAGAATGCAAATATTCTTTTTATCTAGATCAATAATAATAATTGTCGTTTAATATTATTTGTAATATGAATTATCGAAAATTATCAATTATATTATAAATAATATATTGAAAATCATATATTACCTTATCACAATAGTTAAACGAAATACGTACGAAGAATTGACTAAGATAGTATATTTAAATACTAGATAAAATGTAATTGCTACGCTTATAAGTCTACTTTTTTTAAATAGAATAATATGATATATTATATGATATCTAATGAAGATTTATATCGTTTTGAATATCCTTTATGTATGTGATTTTTTTTACCACAGTTGTAAGTATTAGAATATAAAGAAAAAAATAAAACAAAAAAGACGACGCGTGTTACGAATTTTTTGTAATTTAGTTGAACGATGTTTTGCCAAAAATGAAGTTGCCCAAAGCGGCTTGATCTTCGGAGGCGAAAAATTCCACCCAGTATTTAGCGAATTCGTCGTGAGAGACTTGTACTGTTCCACCCTATGTACAGAATAAAATAAAACACATTTAATTAATAATTAGTTATAGGGATTTAATTACAATTAAAAGTGTTGTTTGGTTTTCCGTGAAACGAATTTAAAAAAAGTATATTTGTTTATTTACAGGAGGAGAATTGAAGTCTGATAAAAATAATGTATGTGAGCACTACAATGTAAAATAAAAACCTATAAGCTGGCATATTATTTTAAAACGCAGTTAGTAGTTAAATTGTACATTCATGCGCAGTTACAATTGTTTTAAATAACCGCATATTATTATGTGTAGTAGGGACAATGTCGCAGTATTTTGTCTTTCAGTTGATATGATTAAAATAACTACAAACTATTTTAGGTTAGGTATTATATATGTTTATATATATATATATACACAAAGTAACCCATTTAAGTGTCTAGACTCATTAGTCATTACTTTAAAAAAGTTTAACTTTTTTGAAAATATTATTTTTATGTAGTCTTGTGTCATTGAAAAAAGATTATAATATTATGCTTTGCAATTATTTTATTGTTATCATTTTTATGATTTTTATGTTGTTAATCACAACTAATATTTTTAAATTTATATTTCATAGAAGAATATTTTTCCAGATTATTTCGAAGTATAGAAATCAAATGTCTTATAAGTTATAATGAATTAAAACATAGAAGTATTGAAAATATAGATGAGAAAAGTAGTAGACCTCTAGACTAATATTTTTTTTCGTACTCCTGTTCACTATACCCTATCCATTTAAACGTCGACTAAGTTTAAAACTAATTAACTACAGACTCGAAATTCTAATAAATATTTTGATTCAAAATAGTAAGAAGAACTCTAAAAACGGTAATGGTAAAAATTGTGAGAAATATTGTTATACAATGACGTTAAATTGTGTAAAAAGAATATTTTCAAATAATGATCATAGATTTTTGAAACTTAGTATACATGTAACATATATATATTGTATCCACAAAATAAAAACATAGTATTACAATACTACCACCTATGTACCTACTCAGATAGAAGAAAAATAATTCTAATATAAATTAATGAAAACATAATTAATGTATTTATGTACTTCACCAAAGTTTTCAGCTATAACAGCTATAGGGGTTAAAATAAATATTAGGTAGTAAAAATACCAACATTTACAGAAAGATATCTATTACTTTAATTAACATTTGACTTATAATTCCTCTCAGAGTAGTGGTTACATAATGTTGGTTACCTGATTGCACGACGATTAATTAATGATGTTTCTTTTAAACCTTTAAGATACAGTGGTAAAAACATGAGGTGCTTTCTGAATATTGATTATTATATGAGTGATGGAAAATGGAAAAGGTGATACCCAAATAAATGTAGGGACGAAACGGATTTCGTATTGCGTTTGATTAAAGTTTAAAGTTTTAAACCATACTTAAATATTTTAATGCCTACAACCTACGCACGGATATTATTTTTTTCTTGCACAGAGGGCGATTAACCTGTTACGGTAATCTATGTACATACTTTGTGATTAATGATAATATTTAAATCGTGCTATATTTACAATAAGTGTCAATATATGCTATAAAATTGAAAACAAAGTAGCTACAAATATAAGTGTATTTTAATCTTGATGTATTAAGAAAATATACTAAGTAGGAATATAGGTGGCCATTCTATAATTTATTTTAAATTTTTATTGGTTTGCAAATAACAACTTTAATTTTATGGAACAGTTTTGTTCGGGCATAATAATATCAAACTCTGTAAAACGAACATACAATTAATGCGTTTTAATATTTTAATTTTGATGGTTATTTTTATACACGCAAGTGATATCATTGTATTATTATTATTATATGCGATGTAACCTATTAAAGTTTAATTCGTGTAATTAAATATACCTATTTGACTAATGTTCTGTGCTCAAATACATTTTGTTCTTGTTCGAGAGTGTAAATAGTTAATATGTCATGGAAACCAGATGGAAAATTATCCGAATATTGTGACATCCCAGTATAGATAGTGCGATACGAGCTTCCGGTCACATCAATTTCCATCCGGCTTTCCGGTGCGATTACAACCGGCGTAAGGTTTACTACAAAGTTGGTGATTAAATCGTTAAAGGGGGTAGGCTAACCTTTGAGAATCGTTTATACGCGTCCGCAGCTTCCGCAGCAGGCACTCCGTTGTTTTGGCAAACTTCGCAAAATTCCGCCTCGTCGATGGAACCGTCGCCTGTAAAATAGAAATAAAACATTATTTAAAACCCTTTTGACAAATTTTATGAAAGCTTCTTATCTTCAATTACAAAATGCTTTTTGGGGAAACAGTTAGGCAGTAAACGCCAGAAGTATTGTACATTTAACGAGTAAATAATTAAAATACGTAGGTACCTACATCATTAAACATACCTAAAATAAATACGTACCTATCATTGAAATCAGTAAACTATTATTTTTTGTAAAAAGAAAATTAAATTATAATTTTAAATTACCGAAATAAGACTGGACTATTACTATATTAGTTTTACAAAAATAATTAATCTTTGTCAAATTGTCTTAAAGAAACCTATATATATATATATATATATATATATTCATGTTCATTTACAAAAACATGACCAACGTATTGATGATTTTCGATATTTTAGTATTATTTTTTTACCCCACAAATGTTAGTACATAATGATGTATCACACAAATTATGTATTAAAAAAATTAGTCTAATAATAAAATACGGATATGTATTAAGAACATATTTCATTAAATTGAGTACCAATTTTCAACACAAATAACAAATGACGCACATACATCGAAAAATGTATACACGATGAATTAAATAATTTATCATAATGAAAATGGCGTGAGCAGTGAACACTTTAGTTTACAATAAATGTAAAGAATGATTTTTTCGTTCAGGTTGACAATAAGTGCAGTGATATGGAAAAGAGGTTTGGTACTCTCCGAAGCGTACATAACCCTTTATATGTCAACAACAATCTGAATTCGTAAAAGTGTAGAGGAAAATATTTAAATAAAATGTTAACATTATTTCGATTAAAAAGTCATTTGCGGATGGCGATGGCGTGAAGTTCTGTAATTTAAATATTTTAATAGGTATATTAAATTCTAATTTTTATTTTATCATTAAATATTTTTGTCTCGTACGTACATTCAAAAACATTGTTTTATATAAAATATGTGTAGTTACTAGTAGTTAAACTAAAAGTATAAAATTAGAATATTTATTACATTATTTTAGTAAATTTTTGTGATCCTATTTATTAATTTAAGTTATATTATATTATTTAATTTATATTTATTCAAATTACATGTAGGTATCAAAATAAAACTGGGATGGCATGCAAACCTAGCAGCTATCATATACTATAGACAACTTGGAGAACGTCAGACGACTCAAACGTTCGAAGTCATAAGGTTTTGTTTGATAAGATGTATTATATTAGATAGGTACATGTATGTATAGATTATTTGATTTAGGTGAATAAAAATGATGGATTGTGTTTTTGAAAAGACCAATATTATTTGTTTCAATAAAAATATATGGTATTTTTTTCTACAAGGGCACACTTCATTTTTAGAGTTAATTTAAAAAGGGTGTTAAAAATACAGTGTTATATTAAAATGTTTAGTTATTAAGTATTAAATTAAAATGGAAAATCTGAAATCTATTATTATTTTGATTAGTACCTATTATGGATATGAGCTATTCAGCCCATTTGGTCAGGTTACACCAAGACGATCGTTAACTAGAGCTTAAAGCGTTCAAAGCGCCCATGTCGTACGCACAAATATATATACACAGTATTTCTAAATAATCATTGGTTGTAAAAAGTTTTAAAATGAATGACAAATTAATTTAATTTAATTCGACAGAATCGTGAAAGAACTAAAACATGTATGCTATGAACGAATTTAATTAACTTATTCCTTGTATAACATTTAATTTTAATTCAATGTACCCAAAAATCTAATACGAATACATAATATTCATTGTAATGTTTATTTGTAATGAATAATGATCTACGAATCTACGATTATCCTCTCGATCAATTTGTGATATTTTTATTTTTACATATTATACTTACTCAGTAGTTATGCAGGGACTGTATTATTTTTATATGGCAACGAATAAAAATATTTTCTGAAAATATGTATGCATTTAATATACATTGAATATTTAAACCAATACCTAGCTTATTATTTATGAGCTTTTAAAGTATATTAGAGACATTTAGTAGAGAGGCGAGTTAGTAGGAAATATCATATTTTCCATACACTATTCCTGCTCTCATAACTTTAAATTCTTATAATTTATAAATAATAAACTATATTATATTGGGTCAATATTCAATATTTAATATTTTTAGAACGAAAACTATTTTTCAA